AAGGATCGGTGTGTAAGGCAAGTATACCATGGGACCATCCTTATACCTATTCACATTTAATCACTTAATTCATATTGCATGTGTCTACCTTGTTGCCATTAAGGATATCCTAGATATTTGATATCTTGTACCTTGAAACCTCTAGGATATTGCATTGGGTAGTTTTTGCTAGTGCTTAACTAAACCATGATCTTGTAACTTGACTAATGATATATGCAATAAACATTAAAACATGACTTTTTAGTAACATGGAAACAAGGGGCTAGAGTATTTAGCTACTTTCTAAATGCTTCTGATTCCTCTCCCTAAGGACTTATCTGTAAGCGATCATCCGGGACTTATAGTACAACTGTGAGAGCTATATGGCTCTGGCTTTAGCTCAGTATAAGGACCTTTTCTAGCTTGTTAGTAGTTACCTTTATGGCGCAAGAGGGGCCTCAACGGGTAGGATCTTGGCCTGCCAAGTGGGTGTACTTGTTAGTCACTCCTTGGAGGGGAGTTTATGCTTATTGATGGGGAAACCTAGCGGCCCTAACTTGTTAGACGAACCTTTGAAAGGCTTCATAGTGAACCCTGCCGACCTTCCTTGGTAGTGGGTCAAGAGGCTGATCACCTCGGGCGAAAGGGTAAATCACGACTCACAGTGAAAAGTGTACAACCTCTGTAGAGTATAAAACTGTTATAACAGCCGTGCTCACGGTCACAAGCGGCCTTGGACCCTTATGGAATAGAGATGATCACTAATGGATAATGATACTAATGATTAATTGTTTATGCTATACATTATCATGTTTACTTGATCATGTGTTTATGGGAATGATAAATTCTTGCCACTCAATTGCTTAAAAAGATGACCTATTAAAGCTAATCGTAGTTAAATCAGTATCAGCCTTTTGAGCCTCATGAACCCCATGATATAATTGTTAAGTACGACATGTACTTACGCTTGCTTTACTTTTTTATACTTTGGATAAAAATCCCGGATGGGTACCAGATTGCTGGTTTGGGGGAGTTAGGCTTGTGGTCAATCAATCAGTCGTCCCTGTGAGTTTGGAGGCTTCGCCTGAAGATCGGAGTCGACTTTCCGCTGTCTATACTCTGAGGTTATTTTCCTTTTACTAATACGCTATGTAATAAGAATTGTCTCTTGATATTACCTTTATTTATGGCTATATGTGGGATTTGACTTCTTGGGCTCACATATAGTGTGTATCTGGTTTTGTCTTTAAAACCGGGTGCTACACCAAGCCATGCAGTGCAACCCCGCGGCGGGGTGGCCGCACGCCCGCATCTCGCGTCTCCGCCCCACTCTGCCTCGCTGCTCCTTCCACCAGATCCACTGCGCGCGCGAGAGATCTGTTGGTGGTGGGGATTGCGGCGCTGGCTGCGGGGGCTGCGTGTCGAGCCTACGATACCAGTGGCCACGAAGGGGCCCCCGTCGACATCGTAGTAGGCGGAGTCCATCTAGTCGATGGTGGTGATGGCGCGGCTGCATCCGATGTACTCCACATGCCAGCGAGCCTCCATTTCGTAAGCAGCAAGGAGATGTTGCGATGTGCTGAAAACGGATGTTGAAGCGTATGTTTCCAGTGTTTCGAATGTTTCAGAGGTATGTTGTAATTGTTTCAGATGAATGTTGCAAAAGTAGATAGAATGTTGCAATGGTTGTACATGTATGTTGCAAAGGTCTATTCACAATGTTTCATCCGTGTTTTTGGACGTATTGTTGCAAGTGTGTTTATTTGGATGTTGCATACGTTTCACACATATGCTGCAAGTGTTTTATCTGGATATTACGTATGTTTGTAATGGTTTTCAAGTGTTTTTTGCAAGTGTTTCAGAAGAATGTTTTAAGTGTTTCCTTCGTCTTTAAACGTATGTTCCCATCGTTGCATATGGATGTTTAAAAAGTAAATCGAGTGTTGCGCATGTTACAATATGCGTGAGAAGCGGAGGGGACATGAGCGGTCCCCGCACGCGGTCTGGTGGCGCAAGCCTCGCATGGGCATGTGAAACCCAGGCACAGGCGGGGGCGTGCTATTTTTTTGTGCAAGTGCGGGCGTGGATTACTGGTGCGGGCGTTTGCAGCGCGGGCGTCCAGACACGGGCTTCGGGCCGGACGTCAGGGCACTAGTCGTCCTGATAATTTTTGGATTCTTACTTTTTGTATATGTCCGAGACTAATGTAATGTCCAAGATAATCTTGTACTTCAGGTATGTATGTCAGTAGCTTCCTTAATTCACAGGCATCATGCACATACATTGTACAATGTGCATACAATCGTATAGAAAACAATTAGGGATCACCTCCTAATAAGTACTGGTATGTTAAAAAAATATATATGTTATTTCACCATGACCTTCCTTTTCGATCTTTTGCCATTCTTCCCAAGTAATTTGAAGGTTTCGCCTACAGGCCATCCCTAGTGTCAGGTTTTATAATCGTTAATAAAACATAAATTTTATCTTCACAGGGGATGGAGGATGGATTTTCTAATATACGTATCGATAAACTCATTAAAGATGCATTAGTAAAGGCGAAAAAGCAAGTTGCCTCTTCGGTGGTCATATCATCTACATCTTCATCTTCGTCATCATCTAATGGCAAAACTAAAATATCTCTCTTTCTTGGTATCAAATCTAGGTTATATTTACATCATGCTAACACTCCCCCGCAGTCTTATCGGAAGCACGGCGAACGTTAAGACTGGATCAAAACTCCTCCAATACAAATGTTGGGATCCCCTTGGTGAAGACGTTGGCATACTGGGACGTCGTGGGGACATGGAGAACCCGAACTTGACCGAGGGCGACACGCTCCCGAACAAAGTGGAGATCAATCTCAACGTGCTTCGTGCGCTGATGTTGGGCCGGATTGGTGGAGAGGTAGACAGCACTGACGTCGTCGCAATAAACTAGGGTGGCACGACGAGGATGGTGGTGAAGCTCGGCAAGTAACTAGCGAAGCCATGTAGCTTCAGCGACACCAGAACACCATATTGTCACCAAGGAACACCGTGTAGCCAGATAACGAGCGGCGAGTGTCGGGGCAGCTAGCCCAATCTGCATTAGTGTAAACAACAAGCTCAGTAGGAGGAGAGTGATGCAGAGTCAAGCCAAGAGAAAGAGTACCCTGTAAATACCATAGTATCCGCTTGAGAGCAGCAAGGTGCGGCTCGCATGGATCATGCATGTAGAGACATATCTGTTGGACGGCATAGGCAATATTCGGACGAGCGAAAATCAGATACTGTAGTGCACCAGCCAAATTGCAATACTCAGAAGAGTCAACAACTGGAGGACCATCGACGGACAACTTGGAGTGTAGGTCGATGGGAGTGCTGCAAGGCTTGGAAGCACTCATCCTGGCACGCTCCAAGATGTCCAAAGTGTACTGCTGCTGAGAGGGAAAAAGGCCATCATCGTAGCGGGCGACGGAGACACCAAGGAAGTGATGAAGCTGTCCCATATTAGTCATAGCAAACTCACGCTGAAGGACTGCAATAATATGTTGAAGAAACCCAGCTAACGAGGCGGTGAGAACAATATCATCAACATAGAGTAGCAGATATGCAGTGTCTGATCCCCGGTGATATGTGAACAATGAACTATCTGACTTGGCGTCAACAAAACCAAGGGACAGGAGATGGGAGGCGAACCTGATATGCCAAGCACGAGGAGCCTGCTTCACACTATAAAGAGACTTGTTGATCCGACAGACATAATCAGGACGGGACTAATTAACAAATCCAGAACGTTTGTACGCAATAGACTGTCTGTGTCAGAGTGCCATGCAAGAATGCATTTTTGATATCCAACTGATAAATATTTTGAGACAATGCCAGGGTCAGAACCACCCGAACTGTTGCTGGTTTCACCACATGACCAAAAAATCTCATCATAATCAATACTGGGCCGCTGTGTGAACCCCCGCAAAACCCAACGATCAAGTGAACCATCAAGAAGAAGTTTGGTGATATATCCATTTAATGGTGACCAGATTGACTCCGGGAGGTCGAGGAACAAGACACCTAGTGTCGTTGGCGATGAGTGCATCAATCAAGAAGAAGTTTGGTGATATATCCATTTAATGGTGACCAGATTGACTCCGGGAGGTCGAGGGACAAGACACCAAGTGTCGTTGGCGATGAGTGCATCAAATTGAGCTTGCATAGCGGAGCGTTAATTGGGGCCTGACAGAGCGTCGCGGATGGAGCGATGCAATGGCGACATGGGCACAAAATAGAAACAGTTCTAGAAAAAAAGCGAAGCCTTATCTTTCAACTCTCCGCTTTTTCGTGAGCAGAGCTAATTTTTGTGAGAAAGGAACAGTCCCAAACAGGGAGGCCGGTCAGCTCGTGGAGGCTGGGCATGTCTATCCGCATCACATACACCATCCCGACATCATCATCCTGTTTCTCAATTGGCTCCCTATACTACAGTGAATGTGTAGACTCTGAAGTGCAGTCTGGACACACAACAAGGCAACAACTACTCGCTGTGCATTTATAGAGCACCAGCAGTGGTCGCAGCGGTTGCATCACAGCTCAGCAGCGCTCAAAGATTCCCAAATCATATCCCGTCGAGTCACCAACGTCCTTTTAGTTGCCCATCACCATCACCGCCTGCAATGCAATGGATCAACAAGCTACTCAACGACAAAGAAATATCTCATTGTTTGTCCAAGGTGACATAAGTACACAACGACTACCGATTGACCATTAACGCTGGAATCCATCGATTTTTTTTCTTTTGAGACGAGCTGCTGCAAATCAGTTGCAATCAGAAGAAGCCACACACAACTCGATCGATCACTCTACGTCTTATTGGTATTACCACGCACGCACGAACCGAAGAAACTAGCCATACAATACCCCGCTACGATTGGAGTGAGGAGCAGGGGAGGTTCTGTCCTGAAGTCCTGAGCTCAGTTGTGTGAGAGTTCTGACAGCCGCGACGACAGTCGACAGACATGGATAATGGATTCGAACTGAACCAGATCAGTCGGTGTGGTTGTTGATGGAGGCGTGCGGCTCGGCGGCCTTGGCGGCGGGGGTGGGCTCGACGGTGGGGGACGGCGGGACGGGCGTGCAGAGCAGGTCCCTGGGCAGGTCCGGGATGCCCTTGAGGTAGAAGGTGTAGAAGATCTTGAAGGGGAAGACGATCTGGTTGAGCTTGACCTGGCCGTAGACGCCCTCGAAGACGCCGGAGCCCCCCGTGACCGCCAGGTACGACTCCTCGTAGGTCAGGTACGGTCCCTGCACCGAGATGTGGCCGTAGTCGCCGAAGTAGAAGCTGTAGATGGCCTCGTACCGGTCGCCGTTGCGGTCGGGCACGTGCTGGATCAGCACGCAGATCCCCGACGTGATCCCCAGCCGCTTGTCCAGGCTGCCGTTGTACACCTGCGTGGGGTGGGGGTGGAGAGGGGGCAAGTCAGAGGATGGCTGGCTGAGGGGAGAGAGAGAGAGAGGGGAACGGAAGCGAAAGCGAAGCTGCCCGACCTTGTTGGTGAAGGGGACGAGGTCGCCGAGCGCGTTCTCGGTCTGCTTGGCGCTGAGGCGGAGGTAGGCGGGGCTCTCGCGGTCCCGCTCGTTGATCTCGTACACGTAGAGCTCCTGCACCTTGGTCGGCCGCGCGTCCTTGGCCGCCGCGGGCTTGGGCGAGAACAGCGACGCCCGGACGGCGGCGCCACGGCTCCGCGGGTGCTGCCGCCAAGCCCCGGCGCCGCCCACCGCGACGACCCTGGGCGCCTGCTGACGCGCCTTGGCGAGACCCGAGGCGGAGGTGGGGCCCGAGACGACCATGACGGAGGCCGGGGACCTGAGCGCGGCGGCCATGGCGATCAGCGGCAGGCAATCAGGCTCTCGATGCGACGGGGAATTCGTGAATTGGTGGAAGGCAGCTAGACAAGTGGTCAGTGGTGCGTTTATTTAAGCAACTCTAGGCTTGTGGGTGACACCGGGAGTAGGTGCAACTGCTTTGGGTTAGGGTCCTCGTCGTCTTTTTCGCGTCGGCCCGGCCGGGGCGCACCGGCCATAATTGGGCACGAGTACAACATGCGCTGCGTCGTGCCAAGCGTCGTCCATCCCGCCTGGCCGGCCCGGTCGGTGGTCGCCGTTTCAGATCTGCGTCGTACAGTACCCTTCAGAGCCTGGTGCACGCGCTGCGTGTGCATTGCTATTTACTCCGTCTGTTCGCAGCTGCACCGGGTCCTCGTTTATTACCGGACGCTGTTTTTGTCTGGGAATGGCTAATAAGTTGGACTGATAAGCTCAATAACAGAAGCATATTGTTCTACTCCCTTCATTTTAAATTATAAGTCATTCCAAGAATCTTGTAGAGTCAAAGTTTTTCAAGTTTGACCAAATTTATATAACAAAATAATAATATTTATCATACCAAGTAAGTATAATTAGATTCTTCATTAGTTATATTTTCATATTATACATATTTGATGTCATCCATGTTTGTGTTTCTCTCTATAATTTTAGTCAAACTTGAAAAAGTTTGACTCTCCAAGATTCTTGAAATGACTTACAATTTGGGATGGAGGGAGTATATGCTAGTGGTGATTATTCGATATATTGGAACCAGTTAGCCGCCGGGGCCAGGTGTGATGATTATACTATTATTATTATTATTATTATTATTATTATTATTATATATATATATAGTTCTCGATATATTGTGACCAGTTAGCCGCCGGGGCAAAGGAAGCGTGAACACGCTAATTAGTCACGGTCTCTGATTACTGGACGGGACGGCGCGCTCCGCTGCGCCCGTATTTATTTGCGTGAACAGTAAACAGGAAGTGGACACTAAAGTTACGGGATGATGAATAGAGGCTGGGAAGTATTTAAAGAAAGTTTGGTTGAACAGTGTTTTCTAAGAGAGGGGGAGCAGGTTCCTGCAGATCGTCATCGCCGACTCCAATGCTCATGGTACGCGGCTGGGAATCTGGGATATATACTATTCAGCACGAAGTCCCTTGTGGTCTCTTGATTATTCCGAGAGGTGAGCTGTAACCATTGTGAAATCCTGGATCACAAAGTTGGATGGAGCCGACCGTGGTTTCTAGGCCCGTTTAGATCAAAAAATTTTGGATTTTGGCTACGGTAGCATTTTTGTTTGTATTTGATAATTAGTATCTAATTATGGACTAATTAGATTTAAAAGTTTCGTCTCGTGATTTCTCACACAACTGTGCAATTATTATTATTTTTCGTCTATATTTAGTACTCCATGCATGTACCGCAAGATTCGATGTGACAGGTACTACACAAAATTTTTTGAAATCTAAACGGGGCCTAAGTTTGACTGATGCTGTTTCTCGGTGACAAAAAAAAAACACTGCATCCTGAATGCCCGCAGACCGGCGCATGGGCAAGTCCGATCCGTTGCGGCGTGTTCGCGTTTGCACGTCCCTCCTTCGTGTTCTCTCGCCGCATCACACAAAAATGGGGTAGACTAGTCCTGTAGCAGCATGTTCGTACCAGAACTCAATAATTTCGGCGGATGGGTGCTCACCTCATCCTCATGGAGCTGCATCACTCCAATCGGAAATGAAGTAGTACTACTGCTCCATTGACTCTGAACAACGGCCCAGTCAACGTCTTCTAGTGCGGTTTTAATTGGGGGTCATGGCCTCATTAGATGTAATAAATCCAAGACCATATATAACTGTTGTTTTTCTTTTAAAAAAAATATATATACTCTACTATCTCTATCCTTAGATAAATCAACTTTTACAGTTGTCTAAAGTCAAAAAAAATTAAGCTTAATTGAATTTCGTAGAAAAAACGAATACTTATGACACAACAACAACAAAATTAAGCTTAATTGAATTTCGTACAAAAAACTAATACTTATGACACAAAATTAGTATTCAGCGGATGGGTGGTGACCTCATGGAGTTGTTTTGCTCTGATATGAAGTACTCCATGACTATAAGTATGTTTGGATGAGTTTCAGATTCTTAAAAACCAGTTTTTGTCTCTAGTTTTTAAAATGGATCCCCTAATTTTTAGTAATCTGGCTTCATTTATTGCTTACAGGGTCACACACAAGAAATTAGATAAAAACTAGCATGTTTGATCCCACCTAGTTTTCAAAAACCAAATTCTTAAAAACTGGTGGATCCAAACATGGCCTGTGAAGACCGAAGAAGTCAATGTCTTGTAGTGGTATTTTAATTGCGTCATGGCCCCATTTTAAATGCCATTGAATGAAATAAATCTAAGACCACATATACTCTGAACAACGGCATTTATTCTACTACCTATGGCTTGATTTGTCCTAAGTCACTTTTAAAATTTGATTGAATTTTGAAAAAAAAACTAATACTCAAAATTAGTATTCGGCAGTGGGTGCTGACCTCATGGTGCTGTTTCACTCAGATATGGAGTACTTTCTCTGTCCCCAATTAACTGTCGCCATTGGTTTCCGTGGTAAAAGTTTAACTCAATTTTTAAAAAAATATGTGCGACATTTGTATCTCTAAATAAATTTATTAAAAATAGATTCAAATATCTATCTAATGATATTAATTATGTACCATAAATATTAACACTATTTTATATATTTAGTTAAAATTATTTCTCAGAAAGAAAAATAATAGATATTTAGGAACCAAGGGAATACTGTCTAAATGTATGCATTTTAAGGCAGTACTGCCGCGGCGGCGGCTGCTGCTGTACGGGTTACGAGAGTAAAATATTATAGCATGGCTAAGCAGCGTTGCAACCAGCAGCCGAACATGTCTAAAGGATGACGTAGTCGACGTCTTCTCCTACTAAAGTATGTTCTTAAATAAATCAACTTCCGAAGAGTGCCCTAAGTCAAGTCAATGTCTTTTGGTTTGATTGAATTTTATAGAAAAAGGACAAATACTTATGTCACAAAATTAATATTCTACGGGGATGGTGACCTCATGGAGCTGTTTTCACCCAGAAGGGTGTGTTTGGGACTACTTCACTCCATGTTTTTTAGCCAAATAGGTTTAGATCCACACCCACAGTTCGAGAAAAAAATATAGAGTTGTGAGAGCACCTAAAGGAATGCTCCATGATAAAATTTGTGGAGCAGAGTTTTTATGTATGAAAATAGAGAACAGTTTCCTATGCAAAAAGTACACGCACTCAAGTAGTCACTTACTATGAAGAAATGCACAGTAAAACGGATCAACGTCTTGTCTAGAGTCATGGGAATTAGGAACTGAAAAAAGCAAATGGATTTTAATTGGGTTATGGCTCCGTTTTAAATGCCATTAAAGCAAATAAATCCAAGACCATATATATCTGTTTTTTGTAAAATTTTATCAATTACCTACTCTCTGTCCCTAAATATCAGTTATCATGGTTTGTGTGCCGATAAATTTGACTAGATTTATAAAAAATATTAGCAACATTTATATCTCCAAATGAATTTATTATAAAAATAGATTCAACGATTTATCTAATGATATTAATTATGTACTATAAATATTAATATTTTTATATATATTTAGTCAAAATTATTTCTCGGTAAGGAAAACAACAGTTAAAACGGGACGGAGGGAGCATGTCCTTAAATAAATCAACTTCTGAGTTGTCATAAGTCAATTTTTTTAGATACGATTGAATTTTATAGAAAAAAGATCAATACTTATGACGCAAAATTACTATTCACCACATGGGTGGTGTCCTCATGCCAGTCTCAGACCTCAGTGGAGAGTTTCATCATATAATTACTAAGACTGCCACATCAACTTTTGTGTTGTAACTGTGCCATCGAGTTTCATCTCTCTTTCTATCTCTCTCTTCGTAAATAAGTTGTCAAGTAAGTAAATTTGCTGCTAAGTCACTATATTAAATGACAATAAAACTCTTTTGAAACCCCATTGAGACTGGCCTCATGGAGTTGTTTCACTCGGATATGAAGTACTCCACTGACGGTGACAAACAACACGGTTAGTGGTAGGATTTTAATTGGATCATGGCCCCATTTTGAACACCATTAAATAAAATAAATCCAAGGACATATATAATTTTTTTAAGAAACTATTTCACTATAGGTATCTTTAACCAAATCAACTTGTAGAGTTGACACAAGGTTTGCATTTGGCAGATGGGTAGTGACCTCATAGATCTATTTCACTCAAATATGAAGTACTCCACTGGGCGTGAGAACGACATAGTCAACTTCTTCTAGTGGGATTTTAATTGGGTCATGCCCCCATTTTAAATGCCATTAAATAAAATAAATCCAAGGCCATATATAACTGATTGTTTTTTAAATCATTGTAGCTCATCGGTCTCTAAATAAATCATCTTCTAGAGTTCCTCTAAGTCAAACTTTTTATGTTTGATTGAATGTTGTAGAAAAAAGACTAATACTTATGACACAAAATTAGTATAGTTAAATACAATATAAAATATATTTTTATACTATATGTTTTAGTGTGCTAGTACTCTTTTGTATAAAATTGGTTAAACTTAAAAGGATTTGACATAGACAACTTTAAAAGTTGACTTTTTGAGAGAAGGAGGGAATAGTTTTATTTTAAGTCAAACCATCACAAACTTTACTAAATTTGTTGAGGACCATATCAACGTTTATGACCAAACATGCATAAAATATGTTTGATGCTTGATCTAACTATACTCATTTGGTATCATATGTATTAGTAATTTTTTATATAAACTTGGTCGAATTTAGTATATAGATTGACTTAGACAAAACTAATCTGACTTGTTTTTTGGAGTGAGGAGCAACCATGCTTGTTCAATATTTTAATTTGGGTTGTAATCTATCTCTCTCTTATAAATAAAGCTGTCAAGTAAGTAAATTTGCTGCTGTG